AACAATGAATAACTGTACTGTATCCCTAAATGTACCAATAAACTCAATAAAAAAAAAAAAAAGAATTTTTTCTTTCTCTATAATCTTCCTACATACTGGGTTTCACTTGCAGTTGTATGACTTCTTGTTCCTGCTAAGTCACCTGTAGCTTATTCAGGACTCATGACACTATTCTTCAGGATTTTTCCTAAACCTTTAAGCATTTATTTTCCTTTTTCATCTTTCTGATCCTCACCCATATCTTCTTACAAATCTCAGTTCTTTTATCCTTTACATAATAGAGGAGCTATACAGTGAACAGCCTCCTTTATTTTTATGCATACATTTTCCTCTCTTTGCTGTGAAGTGGATTCACTGGATTTTGGTTACAGTTCTGCAATCTTAACTCTGCATTAATTTCATGAGGACACCATATACACACATAAGGTGCAGAAAAAGGTTGATTATTTATGAATTAGCAGTGGAGTAAAGCAGGTTTGCATTCATGATGAGCCAGTTTTCCTAGCCTCGAGGGTGCTGCCCAGGGTAGACGGAGACACATCTGCATTCACCCAACATTCTCCAGGACAGAGGAACCCACATACAAACTATCCTGATTTTATTTCCCAGGAGTCCCTGGATTCAATTGGAATTTAGTGTAAAACTCTAAGGACACAGTATTATTGGAGAGAAAGAATGTAAGTCTGCTCCTGCCATTTTGTCATCTCCGTTTGCTGTATTCCTAGCACATTCTACATTTATTTTTGAGAATTACAAGTTAAAAATGGAGAGGAGCTGGGTTGTTGTAGTACCATTCAGAGAATTATCCTGAAGAGTTTTTCTATTTCCTAGAGTTTTCTTATTTCCTCTGTCAAGATAAAGAAAGTGTATCTCATTCCATAAAAGCCATTTCCTTACACTTGTATGAATGCTACGATATCATGATTGAGGTAGAAATCTTTTATTGTTACATTAATCCTCTCAGATTACATGTACTGTAGTCTTCCAAGTAAAAAATCTCTGCTTTGGTTGGAGGTGGTTTGTCTTCCAAGGGGTCTCTCTTGCTGGCCTGGTCCCCATAGTTTTGGTGTGAGAGGTGATGGGACCTCTCAGAGGTAGGGACTCTGATGGGACACAGTTAGGTCTCAGAGTGCTGCCCTTAGCAGAGATGAATCAAGTTCTCTGGGACCTTGTTTATTTCCTTAGAGACTGATTCATTAAAAAAGAACAATCCTGAGTTGCCCTCTGGCTTTCCGTGTCACTAAGTGATTCATCTCACACATACTCCCATCACGATGCCCACCATACGAGGCCTTCTTCAGAAGCCAAAACAATGCCAAGACTCAGTCTTTGACTTTCAGCATTTTAAAATGAGAAAAAAATGAATATGCTTTTCTTTTATTAAAAATCTTTTTTTCTTGAAGTAATGGAAAATGTTTAGTCATATCACCACACGTATTTTCCTCAAGGTATAGTTTATTTCTCTATTCTTTGTTTTTTCAGCTACAGGTTATTTCTATGCTCTCTGTCCTATTGAAATACATGTTTTCACTACAGCCACTTCATTTTTTTTGTTGTTGTTACTGGGGATTGAACTCAGGTCCTTGTGCTTGTGAGGCAAGTGGCTGCACCATTGAGCTAAATCCCTGGCCCTAGCTTCTTCATTTTAATGCAAGCCACTCTTTGAATCCTCTGTCCAGTTTTCTTCATTAACATCTTGCTGAATTCTCTTTAACAAGACCATAGATGATACCTATGCTTCTTCATCTTATTTTATTTTTCAAATTAAATTTATTAGTACATTTAATGTATACAATAATGGCATTCATTGTTGAAACTTTTTGCCTTTACATAATCAATCTTGATTCTTATTTTTTCCCCATCCCCATGCTGTCCCTTCAACTCTTCCTTCCCTCCCTGTCTACAAAGGCTTTCCTTTCATATTTTTCATTTTCTTATTAATTCCATTCCCTTCTTACTTTTCCCCTACCCCTTCCACTTCCCCACCCCTGTGACCCTTTTCTTCCTATTTCACATTATCCATACCTTTTAGTTCTTATTTACACTTTCAGTTTCTCGCATTACAGAAGTTGTTCTGTATTCCCACGTGTCCTATTGATTTCACTTGAGTATCACCACCATGTTCATTCATTTAACTATAAATGTTTCTAATTTCTCGTTTTTATGGCTGAGTAGCACTCCATTTTATTAAAAAAAAAACCCAAATTTTCTTTATCCATTCTGCAATTGATGGGCAATTGGGCTGTTTTCAAGTCTTAACTATTACAAACTGTGCAACTATAAATACGGGTGTGCATATATCACTGTGATATAGTTTTTATTGTTTTGAGAAGATAACCAGCAGGGGAATAGCTGAGACTTCTAATCCTACTTATTGAGTTAGCTCCATATTGATTGCTACAGTGGTTGTACCAGTCTCCACTCCCACCAGCAGTGGAACAGTGTGTAAAGGGATATTGATAATTACATGATAGGACTTTACACTGATTCCTCTATTTTGTTAACTCTAATTTGAGGCTAAATATGTTTAAATATTATGTAAATTAGCAAATACAATGTCAAAAATCTATTCTATTTCACATAGAGATTGAAATATGGAGCTGAGTGCATTTATGCAAAACGTTCTTTAAGATGAACTAATACTAACTTGGCAGTTATTGTATTTAAGGCAATTTTATATGTGGTATTTAATTTGAGTAGTGGCCAAGTAATAACTCTGTTTTACAGACAATAAAACTGAGATAGAAAAATCTTATGGAAGTTGGTTTATTTTTTTAAATACAGAAGCCTGTATTCTAATCATACTTTTTTTCACCAATGCTCTTGCTGTTTCAATTATATTAAGAAGCTATTAGCAGTAGAAAAAATGATAACATAAAACTGTATTATTTTTGCTTGAAATATGGTACTATATAAAAGGAGTTTACAGACAGGACAAAAATCAGCAAAGGTCTATGATCATATGGAAAATGTTGGATACAAATTAAAGATATTGCACATACTTAAGTAGCATTGATTATGCTTAGTATAAAGGAGGAAGATAGAACTGTGAGTACTTTAAAATATCTAAGGCCTTTCTATTATAATTGAGTATGCTAATAACTGTATTAAGCCACCAATTAATAACAGAGTGATTAAGGAAGTTAATATCAATCAAGACACGTCTTGCAGCAATGGCTGGATCTGTGAACAAAATGGATACATATTGAGGATATACTCCTAAGTGAAATAAATAAGTCACACATGTGTAAATACCGAATAGTTTCTCTGGTGTGAAAAACTATAACAGTACATAAGATCCTAATGAAATAATTGACAATGTGAAATAGGAAGAAAAGGGCTAAAGGTGTAGGGCAAGTGGGAAGGGTAGGGGAAAGATATTAAGGGAGAAGAAAAAACATGAGAAAATGATAAAATGGAAATAAAATGCTTTTAAATGGGGAGGGGGGGAGAGGGGAAAAAATAAGAACCAAGACCTGTCATGTAAAGGTACAAGATCCCAATAATGAATGTAACTATACTGTATACCTAAAATGTACCAATAAACTCAATAAAAATAAAACCAAACAAACATTTTACTGAATTCTTATAACTTATTGAGAACCTGTGGTAGTGTCTTCATTTCTTTGCCTTTTTCTCATCACTTTCCATAGCCTCTCATATAAAGTTTAGCATGGCCCATGAAAATGCATTCATAATCTCTTGCCTGAATTCTAAAATAACCATAAAATGGGCATTTAATTTATACTGATTTACTCCATCAATGTATTTTACTATTGTTTCCAAAATTGTACAAGTATAATTTGAATTAATTTCAAAACCATCATATTTAAAACTTATATTCACTTTATCTAAAATAAATCCTAGTTGTGATATCTTATAAAATGGCCTATTATCAGGCATGAACCATAGTTCTCTACTCATGTCATTCCTTTCCATTATCTTAATTTTTAAGTTTTCTTCATGTTTTCAGTAACTCATGGTGTATATAAATTGGTCCTAATGCAATGCATAGCACACATGATTTGTTGTCCATTTTCAGTATGCCCTGACTCTTTGACTTCATCACCATGTATTTATCCTCAT